CCTCCCCCTCCTCCTCCTCCCCCTCCTCCTCCTCCCCCTCCTCCTCCTCCACCTTCTCCTCCTCCTCCCCTCCTCATCGCCCTCCTCCAATTTCTCTTCTCCCTCTCCTTTTCCTTCTTCGTATGCTCCTTGTCCTCCTCCTTCACTTCCTCCTCCCCCTCCTCACCTCCTTCTCTTCCTTCTCCTCATACTCTTTCCTCCTTCTCCCCTTCCAGTCAGAGCTCTGCCTTCTTCAGGTGTAATTGGTGTAGCATTACACTGGTTTCAGGTGTACAAGGTAACGATTCAGCATTTGTGTGTATCTTATTAAATGTCCACCCAATAAATCCCACGCTAACTCTTCTTACTCTATCATTCTTTATTCCGGCTCTGCGTTCCGGTTTCTCAAAGTTCTTACTATTCCGAGAAGACCGTGTTGGTTGGCCCCTCCCCCTCCTCACCCACTGCAGCTCATTTTCAGGGTCCAAAATACCACCTTCCGTGGCTGCCTTTCGCACCGTGTGTCCTCTACATTCCGAAAACAAAGAAGCCTCCCGGCTTCTCACAGATCTCACAGGCTGATCATGACAGAATACCGACACTTTGACTGTAACCGGGGTCTGTGCTTACCACCCGTCCACACACTTCTCAACAGCAGTGTGCCCCGGCTGGTACATGGTGGACTCAGGCTACAAACCTAGGATTATCTGTCTCCAAAACAAAATAGAGAGAGAACTCCAGAGCTGTGCAAGCGTGTGTGTGTGTGTGTGTGTGTGTGTGTGTGTGTGTGTGCACGTGCACATGGAGAAAGGGAGAAAGATGGTCTTGGTGGAATAAACGTCTACAATTCCAGCCTTTGTTTCTCTAGTGTTCCGTAACGTGTGGGGAAGGAACGGAAGCGAGGCAGGTCCTCTGCAGGGCTGGAGACCACTGCGCCGGGGAGAAGCCCCCGTCCACCAGAGCTTGTCAGCTGCCTCCCTGTAATGGTAGGTGTGACCCTGATTGGTTTCGCTGCACTGGCTGTGGTCTTTAAGCCTCAAAAAATGGATTTCAGGACAAACTCTGGAATTTCTGTTTGCTTATCAAAAAAATAACCTAAGGAAAACCCCCAATGAGACATGATCCCTTGAGACATGAGCCAGGACCCAAATACTGTTTCTTCAGATGAGAGTTTGAGCTATTCAACCACTGCAGCCTTAGCGGTTCCTTTCACGTGCTAATGCTGAGGGCGTGTCATGTGTGTGAAGTTGCTGTCAATTTCTTTTTTCCTTTTTTTTTTAATAATTATTTTTTTAATGTTATATTTATTTCTGAGAGAGAGAGAGAGGGACAGCGTGAGCAGGGGAGGGTCAGAGAGAGAGGGAAATATAGAATCCAAAGCAGGCTCCAGGTTCTGAGCTAGCTGTCAGCACAGAGCCCAATGTGGGGCTCGAACCCATGAACTGTGAGATCATGACCTGAGCCGAAGTCGGGCACTTAACCGACTGAGCTACCCAGGTGCCCCTGTCGATTTCTTTTTCTAGCAGAAGCTGCTTATTTTCTCTCTGTGACCATCTTTATAATTTCACATCATTGTGAATGGTATAATATTGCAGAAGGCTTTGGAATATATTACTGTAATTGCTCAGTTTAGGCTTGTGGATAGTAAACATCATTCACAAAGCCATGTGTGTCATCTGTCCCTCTATATAGATGCACTTCAGCAAGGGCATTGCAGAATAGACACCTTGCACGCATGCAGACATCTGCCCAGCCCGCCTCCTTGCTGTATTGCAAAACAGAACAAACTTTATCTTAAACTATATATCAGTGTGCTATCGTCAAACAAAAGATATGTTGGAAGGTTTCAATTGTTATCACTCAGCCCCCTTCTTCTTTCTTTTTGGTGGTTTTCTTTCTTTACATCCAACTCTGTCCTCTGTCTCATTTTGTATCACCCTTTGCTGGCCTCTGTCTCTCATTTTCTGTCCTGGTGCAGTCTTGCTTCCTGTCTGACTTACTGTCATTTGCAGCATATAGGTTGCTCACTTTCTCTGTGTCTATCACGCATCCTTTTCAGCCTTGTTTTCTCTCTCTCTCTCTCTCTCTCCCTCCCTCTCTCCCTCCCCTTCTCCCTCTTCCTCTCTTCATCTCTTCCTGTCTCCTTTCTCTCCCTAGCATCTCCCTCTAGCCTTTTTCTAGCTCATGTGTCTGTCTCTCTCTCCCCTACCTTTCCCTTTCTCAAGGTGCTTTTCCCTTTCTCCTTCCCTTTCTCCCCCTCCCCCTTCCTCTGCCTTCCTCTCCCTCTCTGTGTCTGCATCTCTCTCTTCATCTCCCCCACCTCCTGTCTTTCTCTGTCTCTTCTCTTCCTCCTTCCTTCTTTCCTTCTTTCTTTCTCCCAGCCTCCATGTCTCTGCTCCTCTGACTGTATCTGGCTCTCTTTCTTCTTGTACTGTCCACTGCCCAGCCTGCTTGTCTCTCTCTCCCTCTCTCCCTCTCTCTCTCTCAGTCTCTCTCCCTCCCTCCTTCTCCTCCCCCCCCCCCCCCCCCCCCCNCCCCCCCCCCCCCCCCCGCCACTTCATACATCCTCCCTATTTGGTTCCTTCCTTACCCACCCCACCTCCCCTATCACAAGCTTCCTCTTAAATGCCATTCTTCTAAGTCTGTACCTAATGACATCTGTGGATGTTGCTGTCACACTGGTGAGACTTGGGACACAAAAAGTTACCTTTTCATTGGTCTACACTATAGGAAGCCTTTAATATTGACATCTGTTGAATGGTACTGTCTTTTTTTCAAGGAAATTGTCAAGGCACTGTTTTATCAAATGCCTTACTATTTTTTTCTGAGGAAATTTCACATCAAGTCCTTTAAACCTTATAAATTATTTCACTATAAATTTTTATTTGAAATGCGTGGTAGCAAGAATAAGTATGACCATGAGGGGGAGACAAAGGACTTATGTATTTAATCATATTCTCTGGAAAAGTATATTTAAAAATTCAAAACACAAGCCAAAGCCAAAAGAACAAACTTTACCCAGTTAGAAGCTGTGAGGTTTACTGTTGCCATAATATTTTATTATGTAGTACTGCCAGGAGGCTGGCGAAAAACTTTGTGAGTAAACTTTATTGTCTTAATAGCTGACAGAGCTGTGTGTTTCTGCAAATGTGCCCAATTATCAGTAAGAACTGCTCGATTCTCTTCCTTGAGCTAAAAGAAATCCTTTTTAATTGTACAACAGAGGTGCGAATGAAATGGCCTAACTGTGTTAGGGACTCCACATTCTTCTAGATGGTCCCTTGCTCTGAAATCCAGGCCCAGCAGCCAATTCTACATGTGTCATTTCTGTGACACATGTCAAGTAAGCAGTAATTCCCATCAGTCTCAAACTGCAGCTAAAGTCAAATGGCCTTTCGAGACTATGTGTAAATCGCTGTTCCAGAACTTGTTATAATGATCTGGGCACAGAACAAAATGGCTAAAGCTTCCTCAATTTAAATGATTGATTTTGTCATATGAATCCTTTTCCTGGGCCCCACTTAGATTGTACTGTTTCATTGTTGCTGTGAAGCCCTTCCCATCTGTCCTGACACAAATGGCAATAAAATGAATGTATTCTTTAGCTCTTACTTGTTTTTTTTTTTCTCAGACTGTCTCTCCCTTTTGCTTCTCCGTACAGAAGCATGTTCTGGCCCTAATCAGACCCAGGTTGCGAAGCAGTCGGGGCAGTGCTGAGGTGCCACAGAGAGAGGGGAGATCCACGTGTGGACTTCTCTAACTCAGAGAGATTAGGTCAGGCTCTGAGCTGGGCCACAGAAGGAGGAGGGAGGTGAAGGGAGGTGCAAGGGGGCGAGGGATCAGAGGGAAAAGAGAATACAAAGTCAAACAAAGTCCTCTCAGCTCAGGGCCTAGGGCCTTGAATATACGGAAGGAGAAATTAATCTTATTTTAAGATACAGGCATAGAAAAGGTAATTTAGAAGTGATAAGGGTGAAATCCATTAATATGACTCACAGGCATTCACAACATAATTAGATGATTAATTGCTAATATGAAATATTTAGACATGTCCTCTGTCTAATAGATCTGTAGATGCCAGGCAAATACAGGTCATTCCACAGTTTGGAAAGGGGATGTGGTATTATAACTCTAACAGGTAATTTTATAATTAACTTGATAATTTGTAATTGGTAATGGATATAAGTGATAATATTAGCTCTCTGTTGGTCTTGCCAACTGTCTTTTTTCCGCAGACTTTAGAAAAAAGATTCTTTAATTTCTTTAGCAATTTATATAGCAGGTTCCTTACCTAGTAGTAGGGCATTACCCAGTAATACATTGTAATTTTAAGTGATTATAGTACAAAAATGCCACAATTTAGAATACTTTGTGTTTATGACTTGGACACAGGATCAGTATTTCTGGGCTTCACCAAGTTCATGGGCTCTGCATAAGATATGCCCTAAAATGGCTGAAAATAAGTACAAACTAATGTGTCCATGAGCTCAACATTTGGATTTTTTTGGAATCAAATTCTTATAATTTATAATAAAAAATTTTAAAAATAATAAAAATAGTCCATACACATATATGTTGTCTTATGAGTATTACTTTAGTTAAGTCCATAAAGTGTTATCAATTCAATGAAATTAAATTTTAAAACCATAATTTAAAAAAAAAAATTTTAATGTTTATTCATTTTTGAGAGACAGAGAGAGACCAGGCATGAATATGGGAGGGTCAGAAAGGGAGACGCAGAACTCGAAGCAGGCTCGATGTGTTGATGCGAGGCTCAAACTCACGAGCCGTGAGATCGTGACCTGAGCCGAAGTCGGATGCTTACCCAACTGAGCCACCCAGGCGCCCCGAAACCATAAATTATTAAAAAGAATGTTGGTACACGTTGCCAAAAATTATGCTTCAAAATATCGGATAGCCTAAGAATATTCAGTAATAAAAGTGAAACCATTGCATTGACTCTGAATGTTACCTTGATTCTTTCAGGCATATATTTTGAAGATTCAACTTGTTCCAACAGGTCTTTAGAATTTATTTTGATTTTAAATTTTGATTTAATGTAGAAGCTACTCTATTAGAAAGTCAGAAAGACCATACAATTTTTTAAAACAACAGGGGGCGCCTGGATGGCTCAGTTGGTTGGACGTCTGACTTCAGCCTAGGTCATGATCTCTTAGTCTGTGGGTTTGAGCCCCGCGTTGGTCTGTGTGCTGACAGCTCAGAGCCTGGAGGCTGCTTCAGATTCTGTGTCTCCCTCTCTTCCTTCAACCCCCCCATACTCTGTCCCTCTCCTATCTCTCTCTCAAAAATAAACATTTTTTTAAAAAGTCCTAAACAAAAAGAAAAACAAAAACATATTTCCTCTTTATAGCCTACAAATATCTGTGGCAAAATAAATCCTATTTTCTCATTCTAAAATGAGATATGTGTTCCTACTAGGAAGAGAAAGTACCCTCAATCTGCAGACTCTTGACAGAGATATTAAAATGGTGGTCAACCCAAGTACTGTGCAAATAAAGAACTACTTACTTCAGTGAATTTCTCCTAATATTCATATTTTTACTGAGGTATAATCGAAATATAACTTTATGTTACTTTCAGTGCAGTATAATGATTTGATATTTTTATACACTGGGAAATGATCACAACCATAAGTCTGGTTAATATCTGTCATAATTTATAGTTACATAATTATTCTTGCAATGAGAAGGTTTAAGATCTACTCTTAGCAGTTTTTAAATATGCAATACAATATTATGAACTTTAGTCATCTAGACATTTATTTTATGACTAGAAACCTCTTCCTTTTGACCCCCTTCACTTGTTTCACCCACTCCCAAGCCCCTGCCTCTGGCAACCATAATTCTGTTCTCTGTTTCAGTGAGCTTTTATTTTTCAATTCTGCATACAAGTGAGATCATGCAATATTTGTCTTTCTCTGTCTGACTTATTTCATTCATCATAATGCCTCGAAGGCCTGTCCATGTTGTAAACGGCAAGATTTCATTCTTTTGTTATCTGAAAAATATTCCGTTGTATATGTATACTGCAATTTCTGTATCTATTCGTCCATCCATCGCTGGACATTTAAGTTATTCCCATGTCTTGGCTATTGTAAATGATGGTGCAGTAAACGTGGGAGTGCATATGTCTTTTAGAATTGCTGTTTTCATGTTCTTCAGATAAATACTCCTGGGAATTATTGGATCATGTGGTTGTTATATTTTTAACTTTTTAAGGAGTCTCCACACTGTTGTCTGTAGTGGGTATAACAATTTACATTCGCACCACTAACCTGCATATTTTTAATGAAAGGCTCATTTAGACAACTCCCTTCATGTCAGATTTAATAAATTTTTTTATATTCATAAACAATTTTAATTTTTGCCCTTTATTTTATGTTTAGATGTAAGTAATATCTTGTCTTCTTTTAATGTTTACAGATGAGCCATGTTTGGGAGACAAGTCCATCTTCTGCCAAATGGAGGTGCTGGCGCGATACTGCTCCATACCAGGTTATAACAAGCTATGTTGTGAGTCATGTAGCAAGCGCAGTAGCACCCTGCCACCACCATACCTTCCAGAAGCTGCTGAACCTCATGATGATGCTATCTTTAACCCTAGCGACCTCCCTGGATCCCTAGCGGTGCCTACATCTTTGGTTCCTTACCATTCAGAGCCCCCTGCTGAGAAGAAGAAATCTTTGAGTAGGATTTCTTCAGTGGGAGGTCCAAATGTAGTCACTGCTCCCAGGCCAAACAGTAAACCTGATGGTGCTAACTTACCCCAGAGGAGAGCTCAGCAAGCAGGAAGCAAGACCCTGAGACTGGTCTCCCCACCCACCAAGAGTGGCCACCTCAACTCATCTTCGGAAATGGCTGCTGCCCACTTCCTTGCAGTCAGTGATTCAATCGGTGCTGCTTCTCAGGCTAGAACCTCAAAGAAAGATGAAAAAATTATTGATAAGAGACGTCCAATAAGATCACCCACTTCGGAAAGATGAGAAAGTGAACCTCAAAGGCTAGCAATCAGAGGAAAACGCGGACAAGCTCCCTCTCCCCGTGGTGCATACTTGTTTGAAGTGTAAATCTCCGTAAATTGTCAACTCATTTTATCTGTACGTGGAGGAACAAAAAGTGCTGGTTCACTTTCTAGTTGCTTTCATCCTCCTTTTGTTCTGCACTGACTCATTTACCAGAATTCATTGGGAGAAAGCACCAAAGATTATTAATAGAAGGAAAGTAAGTTGCTAAGTGCGTTGGTCACTCTCTAAAGCAGCAAATGGACTGGAACCGATTATGTATATCAGCTGATTTTTTTTTATTTTTAAAACGTTACACTAAAAACAAAAAAGGAGGTGCCAACAGTTTACACTTTAACAAAATATTTTGGAAATGGGGCAAAGAATTCTTAGACTTGTATTCCTATTTATCTATATTAGAAGTATTGTATGAGCGAATTGCAGCTGTCTTGTAAATACTGTATATTGCAGAAATCAGTATTATTTTAAGAGATGTGTTCTCAAATGATTGTTTACTATATTACATTTCTGGATGTTCTAGGTGCCTGTTGTTGAGTATTGCCTTATTTGACATTCTATGGGTTGATTTTCAAAGCAGAATATTATGAATAAGAAGTTAGAATTGTAGCTGCTGACAACACAAAGGGTGTTGTTGTGCGGTTTTGTTTAATCAACAATGTGATACATACATTTACAGAAACAGAAAAATCAGACGGGCTGCAGACATACAGATTTCCACTTACCTATTACCTTCCATCCTTTAAATAAAAAGGGATAGGATTGGTGTCTTAGTATACATGTGGTCACAGGAACAGAGACTAGTAAGTTAGCCTGTGCAAGACAAAATTAAAACCCTATTACCAGGACCTCAATAGGCACCTCTGAAGTGTCCTGTGTTCTTGTGTTGTCTTTTCTTTTCCCTTTGTTGACATATACAAATGGTTATACTCAATGTACTGTAATAACAACAAAGGAAAAATGTTTTGAGGTCATTTGTTTGTATGTTGGTAGCCGAGAAAAGCACATCGAACTAAAGTTGATACCTGAGTATAGTAGGGCTCCGGGGCTTTGGAAGAAGATTCAAGAAGGTCTTTGTCAAATTGTTGCAATATTTATTTTCTGCATGGTTCACATCCAAGTGTTCACAACCACGATGCATCTGACTGCAATAATGTGCTCGTAATTTATGTCAGTGGTCACCTTGCTCACAGTGAAGCCAGAAATGCTGTCTCCAGGGAGTACATGTAAAGTACTTGTATATAGAATTCAGAATTGAAGATATTTATTAAAAGGTGATTTTTTTTTCTTGATAGTATTTTTATGTACTAAATATTTACGCTAATGACATATTTTGGTAAACTAGAGAGACATAATTAGAGATGCACATTTTGCGCGTGGAAGAGAAATTTAAGCAAATATAGCAGCTGAAGACAGAGCTAAAATTAAACAAATTCAATTGTATGCACACTGTTTGCATTTTTAAAGTAGTTGATGCAGAGTTCATGACTTGTTCCCGTTCAATGAAATATAAAATAGTATGGACTCAGATAGCTGTTTGATGAAATGAAGAATTAGAAACACTTTTTTTTTTAAGTATACGAGAGAGATAAATACTTAAAAGAAATTGTTGTGAGCATAATGTTTTGGGAGGTCAGTTCCTAAACTGTCTCAAAATATATTATGCAGGCTAACTACAGTGATGTTAACCTCTTCAAGCACGGACTGTACAGGGACCTTTGTGTTTTAACCATGGTAAACTCCCAGCTTCTCCTATTAACTCCGTACCTCTGAAGAATCGCTGCTACTTCATGCAAGACTCTTAAAGGTTAACTGAATTAGGTGAATTCCAGATAGTAAAACAATCACTGAGCCTCAAGTGGAAGTCATTTTTTCCCCCTAAAAGTTTCCCGGCAATGAAATTCTCTCTAGTTTGCTTGCATATGTATATGCATCTGGTCCACAGGAGAATACAGAGAAGGATCATCACACACAAACACCTCCCACAAAGATGTACATATTTGTTATACTTCTGGTCTCTGAGCTTCCTTTTCTACTAAGCTAAAAACTCCTTTTTATCAAAGTGTACACTACTGATGCTGTTTGTTGTATTGGGAGCACGTAGCAATAAAAATGTTAACAAAACATAGCCCTGGCTCTATCTAGGTTTTATCATTACATCCATCGCTGAATAATGGAAACGTTTCTTTTCCTCCTGCAAAGTGAAATGGTATCAATTCATTAGCTCCTTGGACTTTCTCTACAGAGGCTCAAATAAAATGACGTGTCTCCTACCCTCACACCAGGGTGTCTCATAATATTTTTTAACCAAAAAAAAAAAAAAAAAAAAAAGAAAGGACCATGAGTGGTTGCTTTTTGCCTAAAGCCATCCCACAGAACTATGAAGAGGCAGAAAGAAAAGGGTAAAAATGCTAGGATGTACGGGAAGGGAAAGAGGGACTTCTGTTTTTAAATGTGCAATCCCAGAGTGGTTTTAAAGAAAAGCTGCCCACCAGCTTTGAACCTGATTACCTGAGGATTTCTGGGAATATATGACACCTGACTCAGGAGTGTGAGTAGGAATGAGACATCATGCGGGGGGGGGGGGGGGGGGGGGGGGGGGGGGGGGGGGGGGGGGGGGGGCGGGGGGCTCTATTTCCATGGTTACCAGTTTAAAATGAAAAGGCAGACCAACTCAGGTTCAAAGTGCACCTGTATCTTTATCCTGAGTGATCGTGGGTAACCAGTCTAAATGTCAGTTTCCTCATCTGTAAAATGGGAGGCAGAACTGTCAAGCATTGCATAATTTCTAGGAGAAACGAGGAAGTAAAGTAATCAGCACAGGGCTTAACACATAGTAGCTCTCAATAAGCATTAACTATCATGATTGTCCTTGTATTGTCTCCAGCCTCCTCTTCCTCCTCTTCATTATGTGCCCAAGCCACAGGAGGTTTGAATCACAGTCACTATGCGTCATTAATGGTGATAAAGAACAGTTTCAGGAATCTAAAGACAAGCATTTTAGCTTTAAAAATTAATAGGAGGGACAAACTCACTAAAAATGATCTCCGGTCATCAGTTTTGAAGAATCTTAGGTAATTATGTCCACTCTCCCTTTACAAACCACAAGTTGTCAAACTAAAGAATACTAATACTGTATTTCTGCAAAAATGGCCAGTGGTGATATAATGCCCCAAATTATTAGCAAATAAAATGTTTTATATACGTATATTTACATTAATACACTTTGTAGAAATATCAAGTCATTCCTTTACACATAGCTTATATTTCCTTCAAGAGGAAGCTGCAAAATATGATAGAAAAAAAATCACTTGAAGAATGACAAAAACTTGGAGAACCAAAAAGAACATCATCACTTGTTGCAAAAGTATTTTAAAAAGAGGTTAAAAGTAGAAGGTTACAGTAAAACTACTTAAAATGCAATAAAATATAAAAATCATAGGTGTAGGAATTATCAACACATCAACTAGCATTAGAAAACATAAGTTTCAGGCTCCAGTACTTTAGGAATTTACTTAGAGCTAGAGACAACATTTTAAAATTTTATTAAAATACTGCTTACCAAGGAAAGAAAGCATAACCTAAAATTGTCATCAAAAACAAATTTTCAGGGCACCCGGGTAGCTCAGTCAGTTAAGTAAGTTATATAAGTTATATAAGTAAAGCTGAAAGAATCCATCAGAAGGGAACTACATGGACTGAAAGCCAAAGGATACTGGTGATAATAAAATGGTGGAAAGAGGGCCCATCAAGTTCTCAAACAACTGCGGCAAGATAATATTATCCGGGACCCAGAGAGGAAATATAGACAAACCCCATTTGGTCTTGCTAAGCCTTAAAGGAAGGCTCTGTAAAGCCAGGGGTGTCACTGCATGCCCCTCCAATTACTGCAGTATTTCAGAGGTGGATACCCCCTATCACGAGAGACTAGGGCTTAGGCCAGTGTCGCCCTCTAGTACGTACAACAGAGGCCAGCTAGAGGCTCCATGTTGAATTAACCATTTATTGGTCTAGCACTAACAGACTATACCAGCTGTTACAGACACTGTAACTGAATACACATATTTGGAAGCCCCCTCAAAATTTCAGGGAGAAATAAAGGCTATTGATGGCTATGGGGACAAATTATTAAAGTCCCCCTAGGGACTCTACCTACAGATTGGCAGCCTTCCTCCTTGCTGTTTTCTAGTGCATATTATCTCCATTGCTGAGCATAATTCGGACATAGATATTTTACAGGAGTTGATCTAAATACGATGACAGGCAAATTTAGGTTGGGTATCTGAGTAGTGAAACCTATTGTCGTGGTCACGCAAAATGGGAACCCATGCAGCTGCTGGCTCCCCAGAGAATAATACGAGCACGATGCCAGATGTGGGTTGGGAAGTAAACATAAATTCATATCCAGAAGGTTTGGCTGGAGCTTGTGGCAATGACAAAATGGAAAATCAATTACAGTTTTTTAACGTTTTTATTTTAATTTCAGCTAACAGACAGTGTTAGTTTCAGGTGTACAGTATAGTGATCCAACAATTCTGTGCATTGCTCTATGCTTATTACCTATTTAACTCATCCCCTCATCCCTCCCCTCTACCATCAATAAGAATCTGTTCTCCTTGTAATATGACACCATTGGAAACATTGGTTACAGTACCAAGACTTTGGGTGGAATGCCATATTTGAGAAAGACATGCATAGGCTCAGATATGAAAAGATAACTTTATGGAGCGAAGATTGACTTTATGGACCCAGTGAAGCCCCTTGGAAAAAAATTAGGCTGATACCTTGCTTACAGGGTTCCCAGGAACCTTACCAGGTGAATAAGGAAGGTCACTTCCTGGCAGGTTCAGGAATCTAAGAATATTTGGGGGAACTCAAAAAGAGAGGAAGTAACTGAAATCTATAGGTATTGCAAGCAAGTCTGATTTGGTTTAGCCCTTAACCTTGAAAAACTATTAAAAGTTCAATTTAAAGTTCCTTATGAGAAGTTCCAGTGTCACGAGCATGCTATGAAGGCAGAGCACACATGAGTTACATCTTTTCACAATGTCAGCTGTATTCAAGCATAAAGCAAGGTTAACATAATTGTAAAGCAGGTTCAGGATTCCAAACTCAAGTTTGCAATATGTCTTTGTCTTATTAATTTTATAACTTGTATGTATAGATGTATATATTATGCACACACTCACATATATATATCTCACTTCTTTTTATCCATTCATCTATGGATGGACACTTAGTTTGCTTTCACATCTTGGTTATTGTAAATAATACTGCAATAAACATAGGGGTACCTATCTTTTCAAAAAAAAGGATTCCAAACTCAGTGACCTTCCACCACGTGTTTAACTTGGCTTCTTACATGTCACACAAAGCAAAGCACAAGATCGGTCACACAAGAAACAAGATAGAACAATGGGTGGGAAGTTAATGAACCAACTGTGAGCTCATAGTTGAGATGAGGTCTTGGTCACATCCAAGTCAGCTACCAGCACTTGCTGCTTATTATGTCCCAGCAGTGAAGGATCTGTTCTGCTCAGACGTCACTCGGCAGAGACTTAGGCAGCAGTTGCCTTTCTGATGTGGTCAGACATGAAAGGAGCAGCCTCTAGAAAGTCTGGCAGTTTGCTGCAAAAATCCTTCATTTTTAAAGGAGTTTAGTCAGTCTTGGACCTTTGCAGACCTCCTCTGGTTCTCCGTTCCGGGTGTGTTGTCAGCCTATGCTGGTTTCAGCCATATCTGGTTTTAGCTCAACACTTTTGACTGCCTGCATCACTGCTTGACCTGTGTCACTGCTTGACATGAGTGACTCCAGTTTCTTCTTGACATTCCACCCCATGATTCCTCATGGCTAATCTGTGAGGGTCATGTAGGAATCAAATATGTCTTAAACCAGGTCAACAGCACTAGTCTGCTAATGTGACCGAGGGCAAAGCTAAGTCACTTAATCATGTTTTCAACAACAACAACAAAATCAAAATCTCAAATCATGAGATGTCAAGTGACATCCTAAAATGAAATCACAAAAAAATCAAAACTGGTTAAAATTAACTGAATCAAATAAAGTTTAATCAATTTAGAGTAAAGCAAAATTATGTAAGGATTAAATAAAAAACTCCACTCAAAGTTATATCTAATAATTCAAAAAGAAAAGAAAAACTAAACCTAAATTTAAGGTAAATTAAGAAATCAACAAAGCAATCAAATAAAATGAAATGAAAATCATGTTACCAAATACAAGTAGATTGAAGGCAAAAAATACATATGGAATCTTTAATATAGGCTTTTGGCATCCAGAAAAGCATGGCCATGGTGTGGTTAATCATAGTCTTTCTGTGATCTTTTTTTCTTTCTTAAGCCTGAGGGCGCATAACATTCTAATAGTGTGTTTATTAAGATATACAACAAAAATAATGGCTAAAAGCAATAGAAGGATTTCCTTAATGAATTCCCAAACATGAGTAGAGAGATAATTCTATACCATCTTTAAATATTTCAAAGGGTTATAGTCAGATCATAATCCAGAGAAAAATCTTGTTTGAAAGATTTTATCAATAATTCTGGAAAGGAACATTGTGTAAGTTTGTATATCTTTGTTCAATGCAGCTAAGTTGATGTTACTTGATTGCTGATGTTGCATGAATGGTCAGTGCGGTATGTTCAAAATGGGTTAGCTTGTGGGTCAAGGTTTTATGGGCTGCTTTGAGCCCTTCTAAGTGTTCCTCTAAACACTTATCAATTTTCTTAGTTTTTACCCAAGGTGTTTTTTTTATCCTTGAAAAGGGTTTTGGAAAACTTTATATGAATATCCTGAGATAAAGCTACCCATTCTGGTAACATTATTAAATGTCATATTAATAACATACAACATTTTAATACATTCATTGTCTGTGGTCATTCAACCTAGTATGACTAAAGAATGTGACCTCTGAGGAGTTATTAGCACAAGTTATCCAGTTAAAGTGTCTCCTGTCTAAGAATAAATTTTCAGTGGATATTCTTATGAAAGGATGAAAATTAGCATTTATTTTTAATCTGTGTGAAGCATAATACATGTTGCCGGACCATTGAAATGCTATCTCTTTGGGTCATAAATACCCATCAATCCACAGGAGTGTATAGGTGTTG